TTATCTTTAGACTGCACCCTGAGCTTTCAGCAGGGGGCTTAATATACTGTCAAGCCAAGGCTTCTAATTAGGAAAAACTGTGAATGTCTGGGTGGGTGGGACAGTATCGCTGCAGATGCAGAGTGACCAAACAGATGTTACGTATTGAAACTCTCCAATATGTGTGCTCACAGCTATGAAACCTATTTTGTCCAAACCTTAATAGTTCTTCTGATGGATTTGGTTCTGCAGAGCACCGGTCTGTGGATAGAGATCAGCTTCACAGAGATGTATTCTGACAGTCCAAAGTGAGAAGACTCGTATTTTTATTTTACTTCTGATTGAGTAAAATAAAGAGTTAGAAACTTTCTAAATGTGGAGCTTTATATTCCACATGGGTTAAGCCCATGCTAATAAAATGCATAAACATTTTTATACTTCAGCAGACTTATGGTTGCAAAGTTAAAGAATGTGCCTAAAATTAGAATAAGTTTAATCCTGCTTTCATACCTACTACTATCTGTAATGGCGACTTTCCTGCAGTCTAAATGTTTTTTTTGTTTTTTTTTAAATAGTCAGAAATGCATGACCTGATGTCCTTCAGGATATCTAAAAAAATATCAGCCTTTCATCTCCCCCTCCTACACTCTTACTGTTTCGTTATTCTTATAACTTTAAACCTAATACTGCACTCGTCCTAGACTGATGAGCATATCGGGGGCAACGCAGGGGTTCACTCTCTCTCCTAAGGATGTCTCAGTGCTCAGCAGGGCTTTATGACACAGCCTGCTCCAGGCATGAAAATGTAAAATACAGCTCCTGCTCTCTCCTATCCTACTAAGGGACCAAGACAACCGGACTGGTAGATAAAAACAGCATGAACATACTGAGGGATTGTAGTAACTGTGTTTTTCGCACCAGTTTCATTTTGTATCTCTCCTCACCTCTTAGTTTTCCTTTTTTTAAGGCTATTTTTTCTGTCACTTCCTAATTATCTTTCGTATGTATATATATGTACAGAAAGAAAGACAGACAGACAGACAGACAAGGAAAAGGACAAGGAAAGAATAGTTTTTCGTTTTGAGTACGCCACAAAATATTTAAAGAAAAAACGACATTAACTTAGAAGGCAGTTTTTACCACATACCTAATAAGTGCTTTATATTCACTTTCAGTTACTAAAAAAGTTAGTAGGAAATTACAGAGTGCCTTGCTTAGTGAAGGCAGCTACTGCCTGTTTAGCTTAGCTAGCCTAACAGTACGAACAGACTATCTGCAGTGCAATTCTGCTCTGAAAATTGCAAAAGCACATTTTCAATTCAATCAATGCAAAATGTACAAAAAAACATTTGAACGATGCTCATAACCCTGAATAACTGACTGCACAGATTAAGTTTTGAGATGAAGTTTTATGCTTAAGGACATCCTAGTATCTACTTGTTGTAACATATTTAATGAATGCGAAATGACTGACTGACTGACAGCAGCAGCAAACCCCACTCACTATGGGCTGGTTGAACCAGCAGCAACAGCAGCCTTATAGCACCGAGCTCTAGTGTTCTGAAAAATGCAAAACACATTTTAAGATTTTTGGATGTTTTTTTATTATCCTACTTTTTTTATTTTAAAGCGGGTCAATTTTTAATAAACTGACCCGACAGAAAAAGATTTGAAGTGGCTCAAAGCATGGCAGGATATCTTGCTGAACACAGCCTGTCCTTCCTCTCAGCCCCTGCCAATGGATTTAACAATGCGGGGTAATAATTTTCATACCTCCCTCTGAGGCGGAACCAAAGCACCAGGTTACTGAAAGGCTTTTGAAAGGCAATGAAAAAGCTCCACCATTGCTTGGGGCACCAATTGCTGAAGAGGGAGCTTATGTGGCAATTTAAGAAAAGAAATTAATAATCACATCAATGTGACAATAGTTCATTTTTGTTATACTCTGTGCTAAAAATAAAAAAAACAGAAAATACAAAAACTCACTCCTTGATCCCTGTTGTTACTCATTCTGCAGGACACTCCACAGCTGTCAATCATATGATCAAAAACTGGAAATTTAAATCAGTGCGCCAAAGTCCGTTTTTGTTATGAAAAGATACGATTTTTAGGATTTCAACTTTTAATTTATGTGGACTTTTAAATCTAAACAGCATGTCAGTCTCTGATTAGTTTTTCAATCAGTTCAGTTTACTTTATTTGCACATAAAATTAACCTTCAGCTGGAAATAAAGGATACTCTGTGCCCCCTGTCCTAAATAAGATAAGATGCTCAAAGTGAAGCTTTTCATTGTCTATATTTATCTTTAAGTTCACAAAAATCATTGATAGTTTATCACAATCTCAGTGGTAAAAGAATGGGGAAGGAGAACTTTGGGGGGAAAAAACAGTATGTTTTAATTAAAAGTAATAAGTAATAAGCCTAATAATGTTACTGTAGATATTGTAGCTGCTGTGTTACTGTATAAGTGTGTTACTTGTTTTGTTAAGCAATGAGGACAAGTTGAACTTGCACCACATAAAGATGCTCTAAAATCCTACAAATACAATCACTGTTTCCATAAAACAGATACATCTTCAAACTAATCTAAACCTCCTTGGAGGCTTAGAATGATCTAAAGGTTGATTATAGCACATATTAAGAAAGCACCCTGTTCTATAGGGAAACATTATCACACAACCGTCTGCTAATATTGCAAACGTACTGAAATAAAATATAAACTATGGTGCATATATGAACTGTTTTATACAGAAAACAATATTTTACAAAATAATAACCTTGAATAGCTTCTCTGCACAATAAAACACGGAAGACATCAAATAGTTTACTGTCCCCTTGGTGTATACTGTACTTGTTTTATCTGACTACTTTTTATTTATGCTTTATATTTTAATGGTTATCAGTTGGAAATTTTACAGTGCCACTGCTCTGTTAAACGAATAGCATACACTGAATCTGTTCTGCAAACAGACAACAAACACATGACGGTTCTATGGAAGACCCCTTTAGAGCTGCATGGTTTGCACAAAAAAATTTAAGTGCACTAACATAATTTGCAAGCGTTTTGGGGAAGAGAAATGCAGATTTACATGTACTATAATTTGATGAAAGTAGCTGGTGACAGAAATGCAGATACTTAGCTTCAGTGATGTTAAAGTTACAGTGTGTAATAATTACAGGGATATACAGTCAGAAATGTAATATATTATACATAACTATGTTATTTATCATCATCTACGAGC